TGTTTTTTTTTTTTTTTTTACAAATGGTTACAAATCTCTGGTAGAAATATGATCACATAAAACTTATTTACATTTAAAAGCAGCTAGTATCAAGATGATCCTGATGCTAGTGGAGTGGATCAAACCTGTTCATTTTATTTTGGCACCATTATTGTGGCATGGAAGGAACCTTTTCAATACAAGTGACGCCAGATTTACTCACAGGACAATATATGTATCTATGTGCATGCTTGAATTTCCATTACAAGCCTCACTTACTGCAGAGAGGTGAGGCCTTGATTAAACTTGATTGCGCCAGCTATAGCCTGAACACCATCATCATGCAAGAGGTTGGCTGTGAGACTGGAATGCACACACACACACACACACACACACACACACACACAAACACACACATTAACTACAGAGTGAAAAAGAGACAGAATACTGTGAAAAACACAAGCACAAGGTTAGGTATTACAGAAGAGTGTGAAATACTTCATTCTCGTTCACGTTATGTGTAAAACATGTGGCTTTCAAGTTTGAAAATCCCTCTCACTTTAATTGGGAAAAGGTGATTACACAAATGATCATAAAAACTGGAATAGATTAATACCATGACTGTTAAGTGGACAATGTCACCAAATGTCTTGAGTTTTCCATCATGCAATAGCCCTGAGTGACACAACATAGTCTGGGGGAGCGACATTTACTGAACAGTCGGATATTACCATGCCTCTGTGGAGCATTACACGATGTACTGCTATTAATGAGGCGACTTACTCCAGGTCCTGTAGAGAGTTGTTCTCATGGAGGGCATGGGCCATGTTCTTTGCTCCCTCCACCCCGATGGAGTTCTCCCTTAAACTAACCACACAGAGGAAATACATGGAAAAGGAACGGAAGGGTTAAGAAGTCACAGTATTCCCAACAATCTCCATGCCAAGGAACTCTCACTGTCAGTGTCGTATCGTATTGACTAGTATTAATTAACATACAGTATTTATTTAGTCCCAATATCGTATTAATGGCTATTTTTCTAAAGGAATAGTTTGACATTTTGGGATATATTATATTCTTTTTTTAAAGAGAAGAGATCAATACACTCTCATGTTGTATAGTAATTAAGAAGCTACAGCTTAGCTTAGCATTGCATAAAGACTGGGGAAAGGAGGCACCAAGTAGCTTGGCTCTCTCTAATCCCTCAACCAGCAACTCATGTCATCTATAATTACAACTATAAAATAAAGACAGGCAGGAATGAAATGCTGAAGGAGAGCTCGCACTGTGGAGCAAAGGCCGTCCTGGACTTCACATCAGGACTTATGGCTCTCTACATTTACTGGGCAGATAGAGGAGTAGTATCGATTTTACGCCACTAAGTGTGATTACAGATATTAGTCTCGCAGGAAAGCTATCCAGTCAAACAGCGAGAAGCTTCAACTTTAACACTCACTTTAAGGAGACAAGGCCACGGTTCAGCCTGAGTGCTTTGGTTAAGGCAGTCATCCCCCTGTTGCTGATCGAGTTACTCTGAAGTCTGCAAAAAGTAAGACAGTATATAAATATGAACCAAAGTATAATAACTCAATGTGAAAATGGATTAGACTTCTGAATAGAAGGTGATGGGTGATGTGGAGGCTACAATGCATTCTTGTGTAGAAGGTACTGACTGAAGCGAGAGCAGAGTGTGGTTGAGTGTCAAAGCCTCTGCCAGGGCCACTGTTCCTTTGTCCCCAAGCTGGTTGCTACAAAGGCTGGAGATGAGAACAAAAACAGACTGAGCAGATTAAGAATTTCATTCATCGCGAGGGATAATATGTAACCCAAAACAGGTTCAGTGGTAAACGAGCAAAACGTTAGTCTATTAGTGAGCTACTTTACTCCTAAACATCTACGACGAAATGTCAAGAATATAGAAAAATACAAACAGCTTGAAGTCTTTAATCCACTGAACTGAATGTATAATATGTTTGCATAATTATAACAGCTAAATAGCAGGTACAGTATGATATAGTTGAGACCAGTAGAGTAAGTGCATATATGAAAATAAGATTACATCAGCTTTGTGAGAGTCCGGTTTGTCTTCAGTGCATTCGCAATCCTCTTGGCTCCACCTGCTCCAATTGTATTCTTCCGTACACTGAATCAATACATGCATGAAAGAGAAATTCACTGATTCTTCGTAATATAATATAAACAGGACATGCAACCAACACAAGTGAAGCACAGACAATACTCACTTCAGCGACACCAATTTGCGGTTGCACTGCAATACTTCTGCAAGGGCCTGAGCTCCTTCCTCCTCAATGGCATTGTTCTGGAAGCTGGGGTTAAGAACATCAAATGTTATCCTGGCATTTTGTAGGATCACTGTGTGCATAAACCAAAATCTATAGCAATTACACTCACTTGATCGATACCAGGACTTGGTTCATTTTCAGAGCTTCTGCCAGGAACTTTGCACCTTTGGAGCCGATATTGTTGTTCCGGAGACTAAATTATAAATAGATGGTTAGATGATGTAAAGCAATGTACAGTAGTAATTTAAACACTATATAACAATTTATATGCCTGTGAAATATGAAGACATAGACCATAAGAACTACAGCAATTCAGGGACTAGGAGATAAGCACAAACTGTGACTTTTACTTCTAAAAGCTGCAGTATATAAGACAAAATTGTCATCTAAAAAAAATGCACAAGTGAACTTCAGGGACCAATATCTACAGAACACCACTTCACCTCAAAGTAATAAGTAAGTCGAAATCTGCGAGTGAATTATGTTTCTCCAAAATAGCTGCAAGAAGGTGCAATTTTGGAACTTTTGCCTCCCTTGTAATTTTGGTGTGCTATAATATAAAACTACACAGACTAGGAAGTATTCAACAAAATGTTTATCAAATATTATATTACCATTAATAGTATATTTAACAGCTGTTCACCAGAACATACACACACACGTGAAAAATGAAAGGAAGTATGTCTTAGTAAGGTGTTGGGCCATATCATTTTCATACTCATCAAATCATTCAGTGACGCCTCGTGCCCGATGGATGGAGGCACTGTCATCCTGTTTCTTCACTCATTTTTCAGGTTTTTCCTTTAATTTGTCACCTGTCTGTATCTGTCATATATACGCTGCCAACAAGCAAACATGTCTTGTGTAGCTTTAAGCATGCAGTGGTTTATACTATAGTATAGCATGATCTGCTTTTGGGAAACTTTGACATTGTAGTTTTTTTTTCTTTAGGCACCCAACTTAAGCTTAGTGCGGGAGAAGCATACCAGTTTCCCTCTTATGAACTCCAAAGGTTATGTTCGTTCACTTAATTCAGTTGTACTGAATCATATGTCAAAAGAAACAAAAAGATCTCACTTGAGAGAAATTAGTGTCCGGTTCACCAACAGGGCTCGGCTCAGTGCTTTGGCTCCTTTGTTGCTGATGGCGTTTTCTGCCAAACTGAGGGGGTGAATAAAAGTGGTTACAATCATATGGTGCAAAATATTAATGACAATCCTACAACCGCAGAATAATCACTGAGCATCTCTGACACCCTTGTGTTCAACAAGACGAACACCAAATCATAATTAAAGTTTCACCATGTACTGTATGTGAGCAATCAGGCAACTTCATTTGATAGAGGTCTGTAAAATGTTCTTCAGATGATGCTTTACCTCAATAAGGAGTGAGAAATGTAAGTGTGACCTCACCTTATCTTCTGAATATGGCAGTCTTTGGCGCTCAGGAGGCTTCCCAGCAATTCCATGACATCATCTTTGAAGTGATTATTCTCCAACCTGTTGAACATAAAACAACGTGAGTTTCACCCTTCAATCCGTCTCCTGAATCTTAGTTTCTTGGGAGACAGTGCTTTGGGGACCTGACCTGAGATGGCTGCAGTACAGCAACTGTGGGAGCAAACATTTCACTGTGGCGTAGTTCAGAGAGCCTGTAAGGTTGGTCTGTTCGCTGCACTCTGGAGACACATGCAGCAGGTAGCCCAGCACAACACAATGAGCCCGACTTAACTTCCCTGCCAGACTACCAAGCCGTAAATCATCCTCTACATTCCTCAACAGCTCTGTGTGTTGCAGTTCTTGTAAACAATAAGCCAGGTTGACTGCACGCAGGGACACCACAGCACCCCCGCTGTCCAAGAGGCCTTGTAAAAATCCTGCTGCCCAGCCCTTCTGATTTCCATCATCTTTCCCAAGGGCCAAAAGCCCAGCGAGAGGTTTCAGTGCCACTGGGCACAGCAGGCCTGTCAGGAAGCGCACAAACACATCCAAATGACCTTCTTCAGCCTGTTGTGCATGCTGAAAGGCACTTCTGAAGTGATTCTGGAAACCGATCTTAGGCCAGGACATGGTGCTCTCTGAGAACAAGTCAAAGATGGCTCGCTTGGAGGAGATATGGTAGAAAGTAGCTGCAAGAAACTCCTGCAGAGTCAGATGTGTGAACCGATAGGTTGTGTATATGGCTGACTCCTCCCGAACAAGAATTCCTGCACCAAGACTGCCTTGAGTTAACAGTAGATCTATCCCATAGGCCCTGAGGTCCTGCTCACTGAAGGTGTACTTGTGTTTGAGGAGCCCATAAAATGCCAGTCGTCCAAGATTCCCCAGCAGTTTACGATTGCTTCCATGAAGCTGCTCCGTTTTCACAGGCTCCCTGCCTCTTGGTTCGCCTACTTCTGCCTTCATGGAACAGAAGTGGGCGTAAAGCTCAGTGCAAGTCCTTGGAAGGCTCTCCTGTGTTTCACTCTGCATGATGTACATGAGAGTATCAGCTACTATCCAGCAAATGCATGGTATGTAGCACATCACCATTAAGATCTTATGGGACTCCAAGTGTGCCCATATTTTGCTGGCGAAATCCTTCTCGGAGAAGTGGTGGTTTAGGAAGATCTGGATGTCCTTTGGGCTGAATCCTGGGATCTCAGTCACCCTGTCTACCAGTCCTCCTGGGATGAGCGAGGCCACTCCCGGCCTGGAAGTCACCCACACTGCTACGTCAGGCAGCAGATTCCCCCGGATGATGTTAGTAATTAAGTCGTCAATGGACACTTCTTTCTTCGGGTCACTGCAGGGTGCTGCATCAGAAAAATTTAATGTGCAGCGGAATTCATCCAAACCATCAAGTATGAGCAGTGTCCGACAGGAGCTGCTCAAGACCAGATTGGGGTCTGTTAAATGAGGAAAAGCCATTTTTACCAATTTCTCAGCTGAAAGCTTCTCCAGTGAGTTCAGCTGACAAAAGGTAAAAGGTAAGACGAAGCTCACATCTGAATAGATGGCCCCTTGGCTCCACTGTCTGATGAAGTGTCTGACCCAGGTGGTCTTGCCAATACCGGCGACTCCAACTGTGAGAGAGACCCTGGGAGGCAAACTGACCCGCGTCAGGGGCTCCAAAAGCTTGGCCAGCCCCAGCTGTCTGAGATGATTTCTTTTCCCTCCTTGAGTCGCCCCAACTTGCATCAGGTCATGCTCCTTTTGCTGGATGTCAGAAAGTCCGTCGACCAGAAGTAAGGTTCTTGCCGAGATGTTCAATTTGGGGCAGCTGACTGAATCTCTGTCTCTGCACTGCTCATATCGACGTAAAAGCACCTCTTTGTGCTCCTTCACCATGTAATCTGTTAAAAAAGTTAACTGAGGTTAGTGTCAGTGATGAGAAAAATGATTAGTTAGTTAAAATAGTAATTGAAAGAAATAGGTTTTTTTATTGTTTGCCAGGAAGTTGGAGCAGGAAATGAAATGCATTTACATAGCACTGGTGCAAAGTGCTTCACAGCATGTTACATTTACTCTCACACATACACTGAAGACAGCAGCGAACAGCTCATGAGGAGCAGTTTGTGACTGTACAGGAATTAAAGAATCAAACCACCACCCCCTGCTATTACTGCATGATCTGTTCTACCATTTGAGCAACTGGATGCCTAAACTACTTGCTGATAACAGTTTTTCCTTCATGCTTTAAATGAATTACCAACACAGAGATCAAATCCCATTTCAAGTCCCTTACCGTGGTTTATGATGAGCTGGGCCACCTGAGAATCTGAGCTCTCTACGAAACCCTGGAGGGCATCAGAGCCTTGAGTGTCCTTGCCACTGACTGTAGTTGTGAGCATATTAACCTGGTCCTGTAGCCGGCCCGCTTCCTTGATCTTGGTCTCCTCAGCTGAACTCAACACATTCACCTTTCTCAGGTGGGCTAACATTTCCTCCAGGAAGGAGGCTGAAGTGAAGCGTCGCAGCTCGTCTTGATGCTTTTTGATCCAGCTAAGATCTAAACCAAAACAGAGCAGAGAGCAGAGAAAACTCTTAAGTCATGATATTGTGGTTGACAAGGAACAATGACAATAGTTTAGTCTGACCCAGAGTAATACTTCTTCACGTTGGGAAAGATCTCATTGCAGAGAGTCCTGAAAAAACATTGCCAGTCACTAAAAACTCTACACTACACTTATAAAAGGATACATGCTGGTGTTTTGCATTATGTGCACATAAGGAACATACATTTTCCAATTAAATGTATTTTTAAAAAGCGACGTCATGAGTCTGAGGGCTCATTTTTGATCCTCACTGCCTCACCATTTGTACTTCTCCTTTTTCTATTGGGTAATGCAGTTGCAACATACCTGTAATTCTGATAAATGTCTGTTCTTCTTTTTCATTTCTCTTTTCTTTTTCTCTTTACTGTGAATTTCATGCATATGGACAGGTTCATCCTGCTCATTTGATGGTTTCTTCGAGAAAAAACCCCCAAAAAACCCCCAAAAACTGTATATTGATCATCCTCCCTATAACGTGCACAAACACACTCCTTTTTCCTAATCCTGTTCCAACCACCATCTCTCTTCTTTTTGTCATGCTGGTGGCGTGGCTCTATGGATAGCAATGAGCGTCTAGGTATTCATGATCCCCAGAGGATGAATCCTAACAAGTTAGTCAAGTCAAGACAGTTTTATTTATATATAGCCAAATATCACACGTGTGTATATATATATACTGTATATATATATATATATATATATATAAATATGACACCCTATATCTGTAGACTCTTGATTTGATAAGGAAAACCTGAGCCGAATAAACCTTTAAATAGGTGAAATGATGAAAGAAACCTCAGGAGGAGCAACAGAGGATGGAGCCTCCTTCCAGGACAGACAGCATACACTAGATATTGTGTGTACAAACCCCCTGACTTTTCCCTGAGTGCCATCATCATCAATAAACTTGAATTTATCCAATATTTTGGTTTATGACCAAATACCTGCAAAACTAATGACATACCCATCACCCTCATCTGCACTATCACTTATACTATGTTTGGTACTAATTAGCAAGTGTTCTAACCTGCTAAACTTAGATGGTGAACATGGTAAACATCAAACCTGTTAAACATCAGTGTGTTAGCATTGCTATTGTAAACATGTTAGCATACTGAATTAACCCGAATCTCCGTGCTGAGCTGTTTTTTAAAATGTCTTCAATAAAACCAAGTGGCATTTAAACACATCAGATGTAGGTTTTCAGCAAAATTAGGAGAGAATAGAAAACTTTCCGGAACTCTGCCTGCTTTACTTACAACCCAACTAAAATCAAACACACATTTAGATTCATTCATTTGAAAGTATAGACACCTGAAAAATTTACTTTTGTCTAAAGTGGCATCAGTAAAAAGCTCTCCCTGGCATGCATGTGGCAATTGTCCAGGTAATCGTTTCAATAACTGAGTTGTTCAATTCTTGAGAAAGATCAAAATAATTTCTAGCACTTAAAAGCTTCCTGAACAGTTTCCCCCCCGCAGTCTCTCTCACACACACACATATATATATATATAGACAGAGAGAGAGACATATTCCAACCAGTCTCTTTGCAGTTGACATCAGTCACCAGTTAGACCTTTATAATTTCACATTTCATTTTTCTCACAAGCCAAGACGTAGACACTTTTTTACTGTACAGTTTTTTTACCCACCACATTCAAAAGCCCACCAAGCTCAGTGTTCACCAGTCTTCCCTACACAATAACCCACAATATAATTCAAAATCTTCTTCAACTTGACTTTAAAGACTATCTAGAAACGACTGATCTGAACACTTGGAAGCCAAACTTACACCATGAAAGATTGTCATTTCATCACGTCATTTATCACAGCTCTTGTTCCCTCACTGAAATGTCAATTTAAATGATGATTAATCTTCACTATAATAGAACTGGAGATCATTCTTTGGCTGGCTTCTGTTTTGAATTAATGTACTTTTCTTTATACATGTAAATTCCCTTTAGTCACGCTGTTATACCCACTGATTGTCAGGACCAAACACTGCTGTCTTTACCCACCCTCTACAGTTGGGACTGTACAGTTGCTGTTATAGTTGTTTTTCCGTTGCAACGTTTTTTTTTTTCCATTAGTCTCTGTGTATGGTGCCTACTCAAAGTTGAAAGCAGCTCCTGACATTACCCACTCTGAAGCCACAATGTTAAAGACACTCTTACCCTCTGTTTCTGCTTGTGAAGAGAGAGAGCAGGACGTAGACTGAAGGTCCACGTAGCAGTCGTCCTGCCAGGTAATGCGTTTGCTTCGGTCCAGGATAGAATCGTAATGTGCCTTCCTCTCCATGAGAGAGTTTGATATTTTCTGCCCCCAGGTGTTCCTGTTTGTGTCTAAACAATATGAAACAGCATTACTTCCACCATGTGCAACAACAACAAAAGGCATTACAGGTTGTGAGGAAGGAACATGAAGAAATGAACCAAGGCCTCAATATCTTCAAAGAACTTCAATCCCAGTTGTAACCGATGGCTCCAAATGTGAATTTACTATAAATTGCATTAGGTCATGCATTACTGATTCAGGATGTCTTGAGAAGCAACAAATGTAAATGAATATCAAAATGAGATTTCTCATTCAGGACAATTTCTCCTATTGCTTTCACTGATAATGTTGAATTTCAATGAGGCAGGTCTAACAAACAGATGGCTATACAGCTTTCTTTCCACACCAACTTAACTAGTATAGCACATTTCATAGTTTTCATTCATAATTCTTTACATAAGAAACTGAGACAGCAGTAGTACTGTGAAATCTGACTTAATACAGCCTGAAAGATAAAATAGCCTTGATATCAGCAACACGAATTATTTGAGGCCTACTTGGTGTTGGAAAAAATGCATGTTGAAACTACTTTACATTCAATTCTCAACTTTCATTGGCTCCACTTCTATCTTTTTTAAATTACTTCTTGTTTCCTTGCCAAACACAGTGCTGAAAAGTCTATATTTACGAAAAACATCTATTCTGCTACTTGTTGACTTCAGATCTGCATTTGATGTAATTGATTGTCGTCGCTTTATTGCAAGGTTCGAGATGCAGGTTTGAGTATGGCCATGACTTGGTTTCCCTTCTCTTTCCTCAAAGTTCACACCATTGTTTTGTGTGTATATATATATATATTTGAAAAAAAAAAATCCATTCATACACTGCTGCTGCAGTTCACTTTAGCCATCTAGTGTTCAGATATGTCATTTCAGGGCAGATTGGAAGCTACAGTTTGTCCCTATCAGAGCTTGAAGAGACGGGCCGGGCCTAGCTAGTTAGCATGCTAACTTCAGAAGAAAAGACGTGACAGAGACAACAGACAGAGTTAGAACTGGCATTGCTTTCCATTGCTGGAGACCTTTTTATATACAGTCTATGCTGGAGACAGCTCTTGGTGAGGAAATGAATGAAGTTTGGTACTACACTCATGTTTCTTCTATACTGGTAAATAAACAGCTGCTAATGCTAACGCGCTATGTAGCAATAGTGAAACATACAAATAACTCTTTTAAAGTTGGTATGGCCAACGTGTTAGTAAATAGTGGCTTATTTTCCACATCCAACGGAGTAACTTTAGCCTTCATTTGGGGTTGTCTCTCCAAACACCTGATGAATGTAGGTCCAATACTCACTCTCTTTTACCTCTGTTTTGGTCTCGTCCAACTCTCTTTAGGTTCATCGCTGTGTGACTCCTTTCAAATTGTTTCCATATTGTCATTTGATACATTATTAGAAAAATATCACTTATAGCCTATACATTTCTAAACTGCAGATTGGCTGTAAGAATACAGTTTAAAGGCCCTGCACAGGTGTTTTCAATTAATCTGGTTGATTAGGCCTCAAGTTGAAGGTGGGGAAGGCATGCTGGGAATTACATGCCATTAATGACCTTACATTTCACACTTTCAGTGTCATAACATAACACTCTCACAACAGTGACACTTCTTCTAGCTCCCTATTTGACTTTAACCTGGGACCTTTTTTTATCTTTTGTAAAGCATATTTTATTGCAGTATATAAATAGTTTATTATTAGTTTATAGCTGCAGTAGGAGTACTGCAAAGATAAATTTAAATTAGGTTTGATGTTTTACTGAGACACGGGAAATCGCAAATGCCTTCCTGTGTGGTTTGCTGCTGATCACGTAATTCTCACAAAGGAAGCTAATTCAAAAAACCCAGACCTCAAATACATCAAGACAGCTCTCCAACTTCCTCTGTCAAGTTTACAGACAAGACGCCTTAATGAACACTTAACTAAGTGTAAATAAGTTGGCGAGACTGACCGTGTTGAACACCCAGTAAATACAGAGGAGCAAGTAAAATTTACACAATTATCATCATCAGCAACCAGCAAAAAATAACTAGCATGGCAGCATTGAACAGCAAAGGAAAACGCCATGTGTAGCAGATGTAAATGAAACAAAACAAGAAAATTATGAGGTTCCAGTAGCTTATAGCAAAGTGAAGCACAGTTAATGGCTAAAGTCAGTTTTTGAAAACATCTGCAGCTGTTAAGGTAAAAGAAAAAAAAATCCAAGCTGCAGTGTGAGACCACAGAACTCAGGCAACTCACCATGGGTTTGTCGAAGTTGTCTATAGGTGTCAAAGGAAGGAACACGCAGCCCAAACGGATGTTTTATATTGTAACACCATAATTCTCATGAAAGCAGACGTAGGACAATTTCGAGTTTGAGGAACAGCTAAGGAATGAAATCTAGCACAGGACTAATGAGCACATTAAACAAGTCTCAAACACACAGCAGTTGAAGTCATCATAACTCAGTAGTTGCTGGGAGCCACTGCTTCATGCTGCAGCTCCTTCCTGTCTATCTACACTGCTTTCCTGTGTTGTGGTTAGCAGGTTGAAGACTGAAAAGAAAAAAAGAAAGAAAAAAAAAAAAAAAACTTCTGCTTTGTACTGCAGGCAATGTGACACAGACCAAGGTCTGAGAGCTTAACCTTCAATGTCTTCAATCTCTCCTATTTAAGACAATTGTGCAGTGGGTGCTGAAGCACAGATGAGCGCCGAGATAAGAGATGTTGTATGATAACTGGTGCGTTGAGGCTCACCAGACATAAGCATAAGAGTTTTGGTTAAGAAATGCACCAGGCAGTGCTACTGCAGACAGATGATGAATAAACAAACCAAGTATTTCTGTCAAGAGCAAAGATATGATCCTCTATACAGATGTGGGCAGGCTGCACTACTGCACATCTGAAACTTTCGAACAGACTGTAGTCTGGGGCGGGGCGGGGCGGGGCGGGGCGGGGGGGGTGTTTAGTGGCTGCCTAGAGATTGTAATTGGATATTGAAAATGGAGCATATCAAACAGAGAGCAGTGACAGAACGAGACACAACAGGTTGAAGAACAACTGTGAAACTTAAAATTGCACATCTGTGGAATTATTTTATTTCAAACCTGCTACACATACATGACATTGGAGGGAAAACAGGGGAAATAAACTGGAAGGCAAACACTGAAAAGACAGCTTTTAAATTATGACCCGGGGTTGCAGATGATACAAAGTTTTCTTTCCAGTGTTTCCTGTGACATGTTGTTCAGTGTGTAAGTAGACCATGAAGATTTACCGCATGTTAACAGACTTCTAGTGCCCCATAATAAGATTTGTGAGTTTCTGGTTTTGCTTACAGTCATGTTAAGATTTGAAGACTACTGCTCCTGATCTGAATATGCAACTGAGGTGAAAAAACTTTGTTCTGCCACTTTGTTCTTTTCCACTTCTATAGATTGTTGTCAGTGCTCTTTATATAAATACAGTATATAGAGATGAATGTGATTCCCACATTAAACAAGTGCTCTGAGCCAAAGTGCTACAGCAACATTCAGCATTGTGTAGCTTCTTTTATTACTTCATTCGAGAGTCGACATATTTGCATCTCAACATATTATCTTGAGGTGCACTCGCCTCCACGTGCTTTATGTTTAAAACTTACTATATGTACTATTTTATGTAAAACCTAAAAATATATAAGCTTACAATAAAAGGCATTTCAAGAATATTGCATAACACAATTACAAGGGAAAAAATCATATTTGTTCACTTTGAAAGCTAAAAAGGCCTTAATTTAAATAACTTTTCTGGTTTTACATGTCGTTTTTTCATTTTTACCAAACTGATGGACTTATATGAGAGCCGCAGTGTTGCTGCTAATAAATCTGATTTCATGGGGTTAATTTTGCTTGACAGGGGAGGATTAAGAAATATTGAGAAATCAGAACTGAGGAAAATGGCACTGAGGATGAAAATCTCCTCACCAAGGTATTTAAAGCAAACAAAGTGAAATTCTGTGCACCTCTGCAGAGGAGTAAGGCGACATCACAAGGCAAGCGGCACATTGACATCATCAAAAATGGAGCATATCCAAGTATATATGTTTATTTCATGGCACTTTGTCTTGGCAAGTTGATGATTATTTTGTATAAACTTTGATTTTTAGAATCTATTAAAAAAATCAACTTAACCAATCAAAATTTCTCTGTATTTCTACAATGAGTTCTCACTTTAAATTGCGTATAAATGCCCCCCCCTCCCCCGCCCCCTGAGAATACTAACATCATTATGGCTGCAGCAGAGATGGCTGTACTTTCCCTCTAGTAAATGAGGAATCAGCTGATCAAATAACACACAGGTCAAAGGCACAGCAGAAGTTTCTGAGCCGCTAAAATCACAAGAACATAAAATAGCTGATTTTTTTTTTCTTCTTCTCAACACACCAAGCAGTCTCTCATCGCAGGATACAAATACACTTCATTCAAGAAATTACTTCAACATCCGCCTTTCATACCCCCTTTTTCTTTTTTTCTAATTTTCAAATCAAGAAAATGTAAACAGTTTGCTTTACGTAAGCATAAAAAAGTGGTTACAGACACTCATCACAAGTTAGCTAAAGACATTCACATTTAAAAAGACAATCAAGCCCTTAGATTGACTAAAGTCTAAACTGGACTACAGCACGCAGCGGGAAAATGAAGCAGGAAGTCAACCCATTCTGAAGAATAAATGTGAGCTTAACAAATATTATCTTGGTTAAAAAAGCCTGTTGTTAAAACACCGCAGTACCAGCTGAGAATGTGATGATGGGAAGTTCATTAAACTGATAGAGCTTCCTGCATAAATCAAGAGCACGGTTGTTTGAATTGTTTAAATTTACAGGCTTTTTCCACAGTAACATAAACAAGTCAACAAAAATGACCATTCAGGACTCAAGTATTTAAAAAAAAATCCTCCCTTTTATCTTCCTTTTCCTTTAAAAGTAATAACCAGCACAGTTCACAGGCAAAGGTTGGACACTAAATATGATTTTATCTTATCTTTTTAAATTCAACTCGTGGGTTGCCTGATTTTGACGTCACCGGTGCCATGAAATATCACGTCACACACTGGATGCAACTGCGCTGTTAACAGACAACTACAAGTCATTTTTCATCAGTGATCTCCCGCAGACACAGAGAAGGACACTTGTGGTGGCATTTTTCGTTTCAAAACAACCACACAATCAGTTACGCACAGGTCAAATTCACCTCTGATTACCCCTGTCTCTCGCTCTCTCTGCTCAAGTCCTCCCACGCACACGACACCTTCCAGATGCAGACGCAGTGATTTCAAAGCCTGGATTATAGGTCTGACAGTCCCTCTGCGTGTTCACTCAGCTCCATGGTGTAGTAGTCCAGAGGACGCCTGAGAACAGAGACAACAAATTTAACAAAGTCACACAGGCGTATTGATCAGGAGTTCCTGGGAGACAACACATGGCAATTAAAATAAAGTTTCCAGTCACTCACATTCAAACTATTCCTGGGGTATTTTATTGATAAAGTTTTAAAATTTACTCTTTGACTGTCCCCACTCTGCCCTCAGCCTTATCTACCACCACTGCCTCACTCTGATTTCTTGCTTTTCTCAGAATTAGTTTAAACTATTTCCTGCCCACAGTTATGAACTTCCTGTAGCCTATTTGTTGCACACGCACACAGGTGAAGAGAGCGATGGGGATTAGCATTAAGGAGGTTTCAAGAAGTCAAGAAAAAGCAGGAGTGTAGGAGTAAGATGTTATGGCTGGTGGAGAAATCTGAAGCTCCAACATGCATCTTCTCCTCGACTGTTCTATGTTTGTGCGAAATGGTAAGATAAGAAAGATCTTGCTCTTTAATTCTGAGTCACAATCCGACACTGTAACCTGACATTTACTGCTGACATTTCACACTTTTGGTAAATGTTGTGCTAGTCTGCAAATCTGAAACTTTGCCAGAAATATGGATTAAAAATGCACAGAAAAAAATCCCCAAATCTTTAAAAGGATCCTTTAACCTCAAATCCAGGTAGTTTGCAGTTGCAATTTGCAGTTTTTATAGGAATATGTTTCTCATTACACTGAAAATTCTGCATATTATTGCTATTATGACAGTGATAACACAGTATTACACTGTATTCATACTGACACTGTATTTCATTATATTATATTATAATAGATATTTATATATCAGACTTACAGTAACTTAGCAAGTAGTTTAGAGCCATGTCAACAGTTCCAAGTAGTTTCAGACAGCTCTAATTTCTCACAGTTGTCTTCCATGTTCCTTTCTTAATATTTTAACACCACTGAACACTGCTGCTTTTTCATTTCCCTTTCTAAGAATTTAGACTTCTCAAAAGGAAAAAGCAACAAATTGAATGTGACTTCTACACAACCAAAGGCTTTTCTAAATAAAGAATCAGGGAATTTATCGCTGTGGGTCGGGGAGAAATAAAAGCAATGGCTTCTGTAATTACACTTCCAACAATGAAGCTTAATGAGCATTACAGACTCTCAATTACACACATTTGTTTTTAAATGTCCTATTCACATCATCTAATCACTGTGTAATCAAAAGAAACGTCAAAAAATTAACACGTTAATGAACAGGATTTCTAGAATAGAATTCAGACATTAAATGCTGTCGTCATGATCACTATATAAAGATGTAGAAATATCTGTGATCAGTGTGCACATCCACCACAGAAGAGAGAATAATGCAAATAACAAGAGTCCTCACCTCCTCCTGTAGAAATATGTGAAGAGAGCAGCTCCTAGTCCCAGCAGCAGGAGCACTGCTATTATCAGCCCGATCTGTAACCCCAGGGTAGATGCTAGGAGAGAATCAAATAAAGCTCAGTTACAGTTTCTGAACAAGCTGATAAATTTAAAACACATCAGTTCAAACACCCTGATCAAAGTAGACAACACAAAGCAGAGAGTCTATGTAACAGATCATCTCAGGCTCTTACTCCATGGTAGCCTACTCACAGTGCGAGTTTTTTTTTTTTTTCCTCTAAAAGCTTCTTTGTTATTGAAATATGTTTTAACATGTCGGGACAAGTAGTGTATTCCAGCAACAACATTTAAAGCCACAGGAGTAATTCATATAATCATAATCCTTCAAATTTCAGACGCCATTAATTACTAGTGGTAACAGCGAGTGCATTTTAATGCTACAGCCAGCACTCCTTCAATAGCTTTGTACTACTACTACTACTACTACTACTACTACTACTACTACTACTCCTCTCTCCCCTGTGAACTGACGTACTTTTCACTTGTGATCGGATCACCCATGATGCATTAGGTCTGAATGGGGTCTATGTTAATTGCAAATTTAGTTTTTGCCCCCTTATACACTTTTCATTTTTAATTCAACATTAAAGTGCTTTCAATTGATGGTAATTACAGCTCACAAATCAACAGCTACAAGATCTCAGACCATTCACCATTCTTTAATGCTTCGATGAGACAAATGACTCCTGGAATCGATGTTGATGTTTCAAAGACACTGGTCATTAAATTATGGAAATTATTAGGACTAATTTATATGATTTATTTATATTCTCAATTATACTAATTATATTTTCACATATTTTATGTGAGGTCCGGTGGAAAGGACAGACAAAGTCCCATTATCACCAAGATGTAAATTTAAAAGCAATTCATAAAAATTTCTTAAAATTAAATTATTTACAATAATTTATTTTTTGTTTTTATTTGCACGCCTCTTTTTTTTAAACTCAAAAAAATGCTACAGAAAAGATGTTAAACATGTAATATTCATCTACTATAATAAAAGCAAAAACAAGACCAAGACTCTGCTGTGTATTCATCAACTAACATAACTGGTGGATGATTAGGTAATGAAATGAAATTGATTAGATGATTAGTAAGTACTGCACCTGAGAGAAAATACTGATTATGTGTAGAGTTTGTATATTAAAATGATGATGTTCCGTTATTGACATGAAAAAATCTCTTGAATACCAGCACTGGCAAGTGTAACAGTCACATTATCACTGTCAGAAAATGTACGTTTTGATGAGCAAAGATTTCAATTCTAGTTTAGAGAAAATCACTTAGTCATTTTGTTCAGTATTCAGACCAACTACCAAGGTATAACAAGGAGGAAGACATTTCTCACAAGATTAAAAGGGAAAAGAAATGGTCCTCACAGACCGAATCAATACGTGACATTCACTGGAGAATTGGCATCTTGTATATCAAATCTGTGTTTCAAGTCTTTGTTTTGTTTAGCAGGTAGACAGGTAAACGTTAAGCACGTTTTTGTCTGTCCCTCTCTGAACTCATTTCCACCTGGTTGTGAAAGGTGACCTGCGGTCTCTGGTTAGGCTTTCACATTATAAACAATCTTAATGCGACATTAAATGTATGTATTCTCTCTCTCTCTCCGTATTCATGGAGAGATGGAGAGTCTTGTCTGTTGTCAAATAAAAACATAGCAGATCACCATTCTGCTGTTTGCTTTGTCGTGTCTTTTCTGGCTGCAGAGTAAGATACACAGTGATGAAGGGCCTGGAGATCATGCTGAGAAGATTTAACAAGGTGAATTTTCACAGCAGCCTACAGAATTAATTGGGCTGATTAGTACATGTTTTTTATTTTGACATGAGGATGAATTAGCTGTGAACTCCCTGTTTGTGTCCACTTTGTACGCTGGTTAGTTTGTGATTTGTGTCAAGAGGGTGGTAACCTGTGCTTGTGTAACGGTCCATGGTTGGAGAAGCACAGACGTCTCCCTGAACCGATGAAGGATTCATGTGCGACGTCTGGATGATGAGGGCCTTCTGGTGGTCCGACAGCGCCTGGATGTTCCCCCACACTCGCAGCCACCCGGACACACAAGAAAAGTTGGCTCCTTGAACAATAACAGACGGGCAAGACTTTCATTTTCTACACATGACAGTTCTCAAAATGTGCTTCAGCTTCTTGGAAGTGTACATGCTGAAAAGAGGAAGCAGGAGGTGGGAGTTATGATCTGAAGAGACCCATTCATGGTTATTAAGTGTATGTGAGAGATGCAGAATGTGATAATGACACGGAAATAGCTAATAATAATAAAAAAATAACTGAGCCCATCTATTTCTACATGATTTCCCTCGATGAGACTAAACTTGGTGATGCACTGCTTTATTATTAAGAAATAATACTCAGTAACAACAGTCCTTCATTCAGTTGTAATGGTTTGCTCCTGCACAATACGGACGGCTCCTTATCCCTACTTTACTACAGCTCCATGGCAACTGCAATCTACACCTCTGTGTTGATAGCTAAGAGCCAATTTCTCCTCCAGAGCCAGTGATGTCAACGGTCTATAATCTTTTCCTTTTCATTGAAATTCTTTGAATGAACAGAGAGATTATCACGTCTTCCATTACCTAGCATTACCTCCCTGTGGTTGTACGCCTCTGCCAACCAATCAACTTACAGGAAATACGGTGACAATCACCCCCTCTGTTCCTGAGCTACAATGTTGATTAATAGGCAGAAATGTTTTTGCAGAACATTATGTCACAGTGAAGTTGACCTTTGATCGTTTATATATAAAATAATGTTTTTATCATCTTTATCATTTTGTCTTATGAGACGTGTCATAACTAGCTAATGAATTCTTGAGTTATGGCTAAAAACATGATTTGTGAGTTCACAGTGACCTTGACCTTTGAACTTTGACCACCAAAATCCAATCAGTTCATCCTTGAATCCAGGATTGGACTAAATTGGAATTCCTTCAGGGTGTTACCGAGATGCCGTGTTTACAAGAATGGGACGGAGAACTCTGTCTCTGGCACAGACGCATAAAAATTGTCCAAATGTGACGGTTTCAAATGAAAGAGTGAGTGAAAGTGCCTCACCTTGCAGATACAAGGCGGAGATGCCACAGTGACATCTCTTCTCCAGGTAGTCGGCCACCTCAGCGACTCTCTTCCCCTGTATCAGACCACTGCAGTCTGTGGAAAACAGACAAGAAGCTGTCAACTTGTGTTTATTGTATTATGACCCAAAAAAGAAATTGCTGCTATATTTTGACAATAATTCAGAACAGTTTAGTTTTATATTAATTCCTACATTAGGGTTTGTCCACTGGGGACACACTAGACAAGTCCTTCAAAAACATTAATCCTGGCACAAAAAAGGAGCCAAATCCATAATTTCAATAAAGTTATTGCCACAAAATATCTATACTGTTCCACATTTGATTTAGCTAAATTTATGAGGCCTCACCTCCTGACTGCTCGTGCCAGTCACTGGAGAGGGGTCCGAGGCAAAGGTCAATTTGACTTGAGAAGGCGGGGCTCGGACAGAGGTTGGTGCTGTGAGGTGTGGGTGAGGAGCTTGTCCAGGAGGAGGGGCTTCTCACCTCACAGCATGAACACCGGCTGAGCGAGACAGGACCATCTTCCACCGACCTGCACATACATGCAACATGCAAGGAAATGAATGAATACACTGTGCACATACAGTACTAATATGGGATGATAAAGTCAAAAGAGCAAGGATACCTAGAATGACATGAAGCACAACAGAAAGTGTGACATTGCCTCAAAATGACCAAAACATAATGAATGACTCATGCCATACATACATATACACACATACACATTAATAACACTACCTGATGCTGGTTGCTGTTGCTGAAGTGAAGAAAGTAAGTGTTTGATTGTTTGATTAGTTCAATCTAACCCAAATATTGTGTGTGGCCTATAATTGTCTTAAAGGCCCTTAACAAAATAGCAGGTTACTAACTCAGGCTAAACATATCTCTAATATCTCTAATTACAGATTAAAAAGTGAATTGTCAGAAAACCTGTCAGAATTCCTAGATCACTGAACGGTTATAGCAGGAGGGACGTTTTAATTTGTTCTGATCCAATCCCCTCAGTGTAACCTGCCCCAGTTAGCAGTGCAGTATTGGTTACCATGGTAATCTTCTCCTTTGAAAAGTGAGCCAGCTGTGATAAATAAGTATAAGAGGGCCCATGCAGGTCTTTTGACCAGGTTCTTAGTTTGTCGGTGGCCTCGACCCAATTAAGATTTACACACCTTTACATGGCATTTTCAGCAGTCAGGTTATAGCTTTAACTGGGTTTAAGACTGTGGTGTAAAACAGCGGTGTAAAAGTTCAAACCTGTAAAAGTTGTTTGATCCTGTGTGCGTTTACCTGAGAGCTGGAATCACTTGTCTCCCTCTGGTGGTCGACAGAGAGGAGAGCAGCTTCTGGTTTTCACTGAACACAAGTACATCTCTTAAACTGGAGTTGGTCAGAGCAGTTCCAGCTCTGCAGACACTGAACAGGTCATAGCACAGGACTACCGCACCCCGTACCGGCACCGTGGAGCCTTCTGGGAAAGTCTGATCTATGCAGGAGAGAGAGGAGGTGCAGGAGTGTAGTGAGAGATGGTAGGAATAAGAAAAAAAAAACAGGAAAAGAGAAAGAGATAAAAGTTAAAAAGGGGGAGATAGAAAAGATTTTTTTTCCTTTTCCAGCCCGTCATCTATCCCTGAGCAACGTCTTCCAATGTCCTCACCTGCTCCAGTGACATTTCCAACAATGTAAAATCCATCCTGATCAACACATCCCGTCAGAGGAAGAGCAATGATGGTCCCGCTGCGCTCCTGGTCAAACACGGTGAGCACCAAACCCTGCAGATCTGTCATCGGGGGCCCATGCAGCTCCACGAAGGCCCTCTGTTGGCTGTGATTGGTCCAGTGGCCACTAGCCACTTCACTGATGACCACACCCTCAGGGGCTGGAGGTGGGCGGGGACAGCTGTTCTCCCTCAGAGGGGTGGGTGGAGCCACCTATGGTAATTGATGCATATCTTATTTTTATCTATATCTGTGATATATCCAGTGATTGGAGACGGAATTAATCTAAATATTAATGCAAAAAGAGAAAACATTTTGTTTGGCTGCAAAAACTTCGCAAACTATTCCTTTATTGACTTGTTTGTATTTACTAGAAATTAAAGTTTTCATTAGAAATGGGAGTTCTTTGTTTCCCAGTGTAGTGTGTTTCTACCCATTTGTAATTTTTTAGTCAGGACTCACTTCCTATTTAATTTCAACACACTCTTTGAAATCTTTCCCCTTTGTACTCACTGAAAAAGCAGACAGGTCATGAGGGTAAAGGCCTCTACAGCGACTGAGAGCTTCATCACCAGGCAGAACCTCTGGATCCTCCAACAGAGGCAGCTGTCCTGGGGTCAGAGCTTTACTCAACTCCTGCGCCTCTTTATCTGATCCTCTCTGCCGGTACACCACTGCATCCAGCAGGCCTTTAGTGGGAATCCCCCTTTGTGCAGCAGACGGGGGACCAAAAGGACTGCGATAGAGCGCCACAGCGTCTGGTCCATTCTGGATGGTATTGGGAGGCAGGCGAAGTGATGGAGCCGGCACCAACCTGTCACTGCCCAGCAGAAAGTAACCCTTAGAAGTGGTGAAGTGTCCACTCAGGCTGATCTCCCTGTACGGTCTGTTGTTGTGTGCACTGAACAGCAGTATCCAGATCCCCTGCAGGGAGACCCGACGACCTGACGGGTGCCAAAGCTCGATGTACTCGCCATCTTCAGCTGCGCCCGGTGTGTCAGTGTTCAGCTCATTGATAAGGAAGTCGCTGTTCCCCCATGGTGGGAGGTGAGGCGGCGACTCTGTACCTCCTGGAATCACTAAAGCATAAAAGAAGACGTTTATTGGATGCTGTTGAAGGAATAGCTTGACATGTTGGGAAATATACCTACTGTCTTTCTTGCCAAGAGTTAGATGAAAAGATAAACACACCACTCTCATGTCTATCTGTTAAATATGAAGATACAGCTTAGCTTAGCATAAGGACGGGAAACAGGTAGGAAACAGCTAGCTTGACTGTGTCCAAAGGTGACAAAAAATTCCTAGCAGCATCCCTAAATCATTTAATTGAAAAACCAAAGTAACTGTAAAACTTAACAGTAAAATATGAGAGTGGTATCAATCTTCTCATCTACTTCTTATCAAGAAAGCAAATACGCATATTATTCCTTTAACCGCAACATTATCGAGATGACCAAATAAAAATTTTAAGCAATTAATTTTGCTAGTGTTCTGCAGAAAAGAAGAATATTGGTTTCATTTAGTTACAGCCCATTTTTTTTACCATCTTGTGATGACTCTCCAATAACATCAGTGGAAAAACATGGTGTGTAAAATCATCATCTACAACAATTAGCCTGCTTAAACAATACATTTTATTATTATTTATTTGATCACATATAAAAGAGAATCCTCCTCACAGACCACACTTTTTCCTGCAGAATCTAACCTTGTATTTATATCTATATGTATATGTGATAATAGGTTCATTTCTTGACCTGTGTCTGTATGAACTCCTGCTGATAAAATGCCACGCTTAATATTGTAATTAATAAAGATCAAAATCAGAATTGATCAAGCCATTCAAACACAGCCCTGCACAAGACTGTACTCAGGTACCCATGTCCCAGGCCACGGGGCTTTTTCAACCTCAATATTTGTGAAAGGAGAAATTAACACCTAATTTCTCCAACAAAGAGCCCCCCCCCCCTTTCATTTCTCTTAATAGCAGTTTCTTGTTGGAGCAGCACACCTCAGAAACTCAATTCTTTCATTTCAATACTTGTCCTTAATGATGTCACAAGAACCAATACGTCTTTACCAAGTCGATGGCAAAATTGTGAAAATTTTCTGATTTTCTACAGTACTGTAGATCTTGCAGGGGATATGATTCTTCTGGGACTGACGGGGCAGAATAAAAACCCTACAAGTGTTCTAGTCTGACGTCAAACACAAACAGAAGAAGGAAGGCAAGGACGCCACAGTAAAAGTAACAGCAATACGTGGAACGGTGGCAGCAAGTGCAGCAACAGGTCCGTTGCGACTTGTGAAAAAAAAAAACAAAAAAAAAACAACATACCAAGAGTTGTTGCATTTGAGACGGATCAACAGCGACTCTTTATAGTCAAACAAAAGCCAGTATGCAAACAGTGTCACAGAGCATTTCAAAATCTGGTCTGTACATAGGTGAGCGAGGCCTGGCATTAACATGGATGATCTGATCTGATCACAAGTGGACAGCTCCAAGTGCATCAGTTCACACCTATTAGAATGCGTCACGACATTCGTCGAGTCAACGTTTGTGATCGGATCGCACTTCCTTCCTCAATATGCAAATAAACATGTATGCATTGTCATTTTTAACCAGTCTGACTATGACAGACGAATCAGCGAGAGAGAGAGGGAGAGAGAGAGAGAGAGAGAGAGAGAGAGAGAGAGAGAGAGCTCAGAATGTGAGCTGGGTGCTCATAGTGTTGGAAGGCTTCCGTCATTACCATTCAGTCTGTCAAACTAGGCTGGAGGGGTGTGTGTGTGTGTGTGTGTGTGTGTGTGTGTGTGTGTGTGTGTGTGTGCGTGTGCGTGTGTGTGTGTGCGCACGCACGCGCCATTGTATCAAATTTGCTAGTGAGAATCAAGGAATTTCAATGGTGCTGGTACTGACTACCAAGTTTCTGGTGTTGTGACATCCCTGCTTGTTCCAGCATTGTCCCACAGTTCCTCTTCTGGTCAATGAGGAAATCTATATTTTCACTTGTCTGTGTTTGAGCCTCTGCATTCTAAGTAGCTAAATTAACTGTCTCTTTCTCGGTTACTCCATGGGTCCTAAAGGTTTCATGATGCAATGCTTACACCTATTTCATCACAATCAACTTGAGCAGAATATGAGCAACAATAAAACAGAAACTATCCAATTCTAATTTAATTTAGCTGTCAAAACACAATCTGAAAGTTCTTCTTCCATCTTCCCAAAAAGTAATAACGTCTATGAAAGGAAAGCAAGAATAATGAAAAGGTTCGGGTTTTTTTTAATGTTTGGTCAAATTGGATCGTTGGTGTGAACTTAAAGCTGTAGCAGGTAGTTTTATCAAATTAGTATCCTTTAATATTTCTGCCAGAATATCAGTGGTGATATTCTGGCATGTTGTCTCACTAATTTAAGTTCCAAAGTTTTTAGAGTTTAGTGTTTTCTCATTTCATAAGCTGTACCAGACATACAGAGACTTAAAGCGTCAGGATGCACAAATACTCACCGATACTATGAGGGCAGATCTTTGGCCAGGGGCACAGGTTGGGCAGCCCAGGAGTTTGCGGGGCCTCCCAGAAGACACCGGGATCTCTGGCCCAGGAGGCCACACCACAGCGACTCAGAGAGAAACCTCCCTCTCTCAAACTGATAAAATAATGAAATCAGTAAGAAACAAACGAAAAAAGAAAGAAAAAGAAAAAGAAAAAAGGATGAACTATAATAACGTGACTTCTCCAGCGCAGCCATAAGGTCAAAATTTTCCTTTGTTCAATATTCAGAGTTATAATAAAATAGCTGCACAACTAATAACATTCCCATCAACTACAGCTGTACTTTGTGATTACAGCTAATTAGCAAATGCCAGCGTGCTAACATGCTGAACTAACATGGATAACATGGTAGCCTAAACATTATACCTGCTAATCTTCAGCATGTTAGCAATGCCAATGTGAACATGTTAGCATGCTGATGTTAACATTTTGCTCGAAGCACCATTGCACCAAAGTACAGCCTCACAGAGCTGCTAACGTGGCTGTAAACCCTTAATCTCTTTGTATAATGCTCAGTTTTTAACCAGAGGTGTCAATTAAACTCGTTCCAATGTGAGTGTTGTTATGTGATTGTGTATTTAAGTTTATTTGAGTGTAAGAGCGTACTTGTGACTGCTGTGATGACACTTGACAAAGACAGGAGAAGTGCATCAGCAAAGAGGAACAGTGGTCATAAGTTGACTGAATGTATGTCACAATACTTGAAACTATGACTTCAAAACCAACCACTGAACGTTACTAACTCGTCTGATAGCAACACCAGAAACACATCGTTTTCTTTCCTTGCAAATGCTGCAGTCTGATAGGTGTGGTTTTATAGGGGTGGAAAACTATCATAGCTTCTTGCCTGTTGCTGAGTTGGTAGGGCTGTCTGCCTGGGATGAGAGTCTCAGTGAGGTTGGCACTAGGCTTGTTTCCAGGCCCAGCGAACACAAATGCATCTAAAGGCTGTATCTGGCTCAGTGGGCTGCCCACAGGGAAGTCTGAGGCTCTGCCGCTGTAAACGGCCACTGCCCCAGACTCATCTCCTGAGAAGAAATCGGAAAGAATTTACAATAAAACGAAAGTGAACGAAGGAATATAAATTTGACCAACACATATTGGAGCTTTCCATGGCTTCGTCGTGCACTGAATGGCTCATGTATACCAGTAAATTTAATGTGTGGGTCAAGTGCATTATCTTGAGCATGAGAACGAGGCCGTGACAACCCACAGCACACTAACCTTTCATGTAGTTCTTCTCTATGGTCAACCAGTTCCTAGACGTCTGCACATTCACGTCCACGCTCACACTGACTCTGTCCGTTTTCCCATCCAGCACGACCAGCACCAGAGGACCTGCAGCCGGGGCGTCGGACAGCTCCACAAACCCGTCCACCTGCCCTCCTCCCAGCTTCAGCTCAGTAATGACAGGACTGGTTGCTGGGGCAGCAGGCGGGGTGCAGTTGTTTCGCTGACCAGGGGATGGTGACGACACCTGAAAGCCCCAGCGATCTTCGGACAGCAGGCACCTCTCAATTGACTCATCCGCCTCAAGTGCTGTTTCATCCTCAACGAAGGCTGGTTCTCCCGGTGTCAGGGTTTCAGCAAGGAACTCTGTGTCCCCGGTACGGCGAGTCATGTACACGACGGCGTCCACCAGCCCGGCAGTGGTGACGTTCATCTTCTCACTGTAGCGAGCAGCAGATGTGTGGTAGAGGACGATGGCGTCTGGGCCGTTCTGGACTGTGTTGGGAGGCAGGAGGATGGCCGGTTTGGGAAGCATGTCCACTGAGCCCACCAGGAAGAAACCTCTGTCGTCTGTGCTCTGGCCTTTGAGGTCCAGCACCTTGTAGGCTATATTTCCATTTCCATTATAAAAGACAAGGGTGTAGCCGTCCAGCGAAGCCCGTTGTCCACTGGTGTGGTACAGCTCCACAAACTCAGTGGTGTCCAGTCTCGGATTGTCGGCGTTGACCTCGCTGATGATGAGGCAGGGTTCACCACTGACGACCACCACCAGGCAAAGACAGACCACAAAGGAAAAACACCCAACCATGATGTGCAGCTTCTCTGAGAGGCCTGAGCAAACAAGACAGCTTCTGAAAATGAAAGAAAAAGAAACAAAATCACTATCCGTTGCATTCCACAAGAGCCGCAACCATTATTTGATTAAGATTGTTTAGTCGCGTCTTCAGAGATAATATCTTTGAGTTTTGGACAGCTTTGGATGAGACATTTGAAGTTGTCAACTTGAACTTTAGGAAATCATAATGAACATTTTTAAACACTTCACACACCAAACTATTAATAAATGAATTGAGAAAATAATCAACAGTTAGATCAATAATAAAAAATAATGCTCAGTTACACCGTACATTCATCAGAACCAGAAAATAAACAGAGTATTAAAAGGTTTACAAACATAATGAGGGAGTAATTCTTTTTATTAAAAAGGACAACATCCCTCAAGCTAAATCTAGACCACAGCATCATTAGATTTAATGTTTACCACTTACAGACCACAGTCCCTAGAGGAGAAAAAATCATAATATCATGAATGAGTCTTCTATGAGTCTATTTTTTGTTCCTGGTGACATTGGGAATGCACGTCTTCTGCATGAGTCATGAAATGTTGCGAAACACACTGGCGAGCAGATGGAAACTTTGCATGAAACGGTGAAATGCCTCAACTGTGAATAAACAGGATTAAATGGACAGCTAATCTAAAATAAATTAGAATTGTACATTGTAAAAAAAATTTTTTTTCCAGGATTAACTTTAAAATCTGATCTGATGCAATTTGCCAATCCCATGCCATCTCCAAATCACTCAAAAATCTTCACCTTAGCTATAAAATGTGTATAAAGAGGCTACATTAGCTTGCACGACAGTCACTCTGTGGGAAAACCACGCTGGGACAAATAAATGGAGGACTAAAGATGGAGAAAGAGCCTGTGGAGTTAAATTCTGCCCTGAAATTATCTCCCATCTCACGACAGTTATTCCAGTCACGGTTCGGCTGCTATGCATGCATCTTTCCGTCGAGAAAAAAAAAAAAAAGCCTGTCAATCTGCTTCCTATCAGTGCCACACAAGGTCCTAAAACGTTTCGTGACTTACTGTATTTTCTTCCTCGTTGTCGGCCAGGTGTCGCCTGTTGCGCCGTCGAAGCCTCTCTGCTGAATGTGAAAATCCTTCCCGGTCGGAAATAATGTTGGTAAAGTTAGTTTTCAGCCCTCCGCCGCTCCCTTCATTCACAAAGCAGCACTTTCTCCCCCCCCACCACCACCTCCCCCCCCTCGGACTGTGGGCGGTCAGACTGAGGGGGATGATGCCTGCCAGGGAAGCTCTTTTTCTCTACGGCTCAGTAAACCATTCAGACACCCACAGCTGAAGATTAAACACCAGCAACCCCAGCGATACGTAATGCAGGGAGAATAAAAAGGCGGGTAACATACAGAGCCCGGTTCATATTGCCGTTAAAATAAATGTATTTATACAGTAAAAACTGGTAATTTATGTCTCTAGTGCACAATAATACCCAGTCTTGGAGTTCATCCCAAGAAACCTTGTAAAGACCTGAAGGGGGCCCCTGACCCCACTTTGTGAAAAAGGGAAGAGCGGGTTGTAACTTCAATGAGAGCCGAAGTCCCGCCCAACACAGGTTACAGCTTCTGCTCCAGACGCTTGGACCACACTTTATCTTATTGTTTTGGTGGTTTGTAAAGGCTTTATTTTCATACGATTTCCTCAATAATTAAAGAAAATATAAGACTTTCTGAACAGGTACCTCTACTTGCATAACATAAACATACATCAAAACCTCATGAGAAGTGAATGGAAAGCTGGATCACCCCCTGGGTAAACAGGACCACTGACCTGGGGCCCCTGACCTCCAGGACCCCCCAGTGCCCCAGGTTCAAATATGTTTCAAAGGAACTGCACCACTGGAACACAATGGGAACTTCAATGATAAGACTTTCAAGTGGGTCTTTACATAATCTGGGCACCCCATCTTGTAGAGGGGCCACAATGTAAGTAGTTGTAGATATAGGCCTAGATCTAGATCAAATAGAATATGTAAAATAATGTTTTCGTTTTTTTTTAGCTTTGTTTAAATGGTGAGGTGCAAAGAAAGAAAAAGTGTTTTGCAGAGCATATATATATATATGTACATACAATATTGTATGGTAAGTTTCTATAAGAATATTTCATTGTAGACCCAACAGGAGCATAACTGCTTGAGAATATTATGATGATTTTTAATTAGTGCATGTTTAGCTCAGGCTTAGCTGTTATCTAAATATATATATATATATTACTAAAAGGGTTAATGTACGTTTTTCATTTGCAGGGCACCTTGATTTATTCCTCTCTTGAGAATTATGGGATGCGTCATAAATGTTTTAATGTGTTGTCTGACTTGAACAGGGCCTAAAACACTGCAAAGATTCTGTGAACCTGTTTTCTGTTCACGAATGGTCTCACTTGACTCGCTCGTCCTGCAGACTTCTGTTGCAGGAGCAGTGCAGGAGCCCATAAGCTTCCAGTGGAATCTGTAAAAATTGACCACAGAAAACCTGGTTACAGTTTGTGCAGTTTTACTCAGTCAATAGGCCCAGAGTTTAATTTCTATTCCCTGTGGAACCACCATCACTAATCACCACACTAATATGAATATTCAGTATCCAAGTTAGCAAATATTACTGTGAAGGTGCAGCTTGGAGATTTACTGTAAAAAAATATCAGTATTGTGATATTAAATTTGACATACTGTTTTGTTTTTTGTAAAATTTTGTTAGCTTGGTATTTGGTATTAAAAAAATAGGCCTATGAGATTTTGTCACTACCACCCATGCCTGCGTTGTGATCTCAGGTTAGTGCTTAGGTTCTTTGTAAGTTATTTGAAGAGATTATTTAAGTGTATTTCCAGTAGATGATCGTTCATTCAGTTCCAATTAGAATCAATAGTAGATATATCGTCCTGAATACGACATGATGTAAGTTGCCACATAAAAGGAACTGAAAAGGTTGCACTATGGATGTTCACATATATGAGAGACAGTAATAGTGCTAATATCAATTACTAGAATGCATGAGGCATCTTTATATCATTTATAGTTTTGAATGGATTTTAAACTTTTGCTGCTCATTTTAAAGGGCAGGATTGGTCTGTGAGCCCAGAGAAGAACTGTCCACAGTATTTTATCACAACCTGCCTGATGAATTTAGTGTTTTTAGAGTTTTTAAATCACATTTATACATTGTCTTTTATTGTTGTACATGCATATTTAAATCTACTATCATATGTGGATATCGTAGAGGCCAGGCCAGGTCTTTCACACTGAGGTCATCACACTGCTCTTCACATGAGATTAGCCACGCTATAGTATGCACTGTTTTGGAAGTGAGATGACTGGTGAGAAGGAAGGTGTTTTTAAATTAGAAAAAAGTAATGTACACAACATGTACTTGCTAAAGGAAGGGAAGACTGTCCAAGTTGTGGTGCCTTACAAGTCAGAAATCTGTAAAATCTTGTGTGCTTACCATACTTCATTAAAATGGAGATTTCAGCTTTTGCCCATTTTGAAAACAGGCATCTCTGTTATTTTGTCACTTCATCTTTAACAACCACACTCTGATCTGATTTGTTTACTCAAGCATCAGTAATATACCACAAAGGTTATTTGATTCAAATGCCTCTTAGCACCACTAGATGGACCTATGAGCACAGGAGTGTGTTTGAACTGAAGCGTGTGGACAAAATGAAACGGTCACCTTGGGAAAATAAGCCAAAAACGCCTGTAATAAGTGAGGTTCCCTGGGGTGAAACTGTTTATGTGTGATTCCAGTCTGTCTGTACAGGAAGGCTTTTCTTTCATATTCTTGTGTGTGTGTGTGTTGTGGACAGACACTGCTGTTTGTGTGGTGTTATTTGACGGGGCTGCGTGTACTTTGACACAGAAAAAAGGTCAGTTGAAATGTTAATGATGTACACATTTTGTTTATGGTGTGTGCATGAAGTTGTGCACTGCAATGCGAGCAGGTTTTTGAGCATTTCAATTGAGTTTCTGTCAAAACGCTGCTCGCTTTTCGAGAGTCAACAACCCGTTGACAAGGTGCATCTAATTCATTTGGCTGGTTTGTTTTGATGACTCACTACTTTGATGTCACTGCATCTGATTCACCACTTATGCCTGCTTGTGGCAGGAAATACTCTTCCCCGCAGACAGCATGGAGAGACGGTGAGCTCAGTGTCACACAGGAGATGATTTTAATTAACTTGAAGATTTAATATGGGCTCACCTGTCCACCAGAATCATTAGTAAGTCAATTGGAGTTTCATTTAACACTTAAAGGGAACCGAGGAGAAGGTGAATTGACCTCAACCTCAGCTGACACACTATTAATCACCAATGACATAGCTTTATTGTGCCAGTTCAGTGTAATAAAATCTTCTTTCTTTGCCTATGAAGTATTGTGTCGTTACTTATGAATTTCTCAGCATTTTCTGACCACATATACAGACCCTGGGCCTGTTTTCTCTCATGTCTATTCTTTATCAGGAAAAATCAAAACCAGCTAAAATAATCCAAATCTGCATGCCAGCAGTGCAAAAAATGCATCCAACTCAGCATAATACACAGGAAGTGCATTTTATCTGCTGTCATGTCACTTGTTTGATCGCAGTGAATAGTGTGATGGTGATTGGACTTGAGCGTTGAGTCATTTTGTTGGAAGTGAAGGCAGCCGGCATCATCTCTGACTCAATCATCAGATGAATTTCAGCAGCAGCAGCAGCAGCAGCAGCAGTAGCAGCCGGCTTGGGAGGATATTTTCACCCTTTGGGAGAATGGGACCAACTTCTAGACAGATCAAATACAGGAAGGAGCAGGTTCAATAAAACAAAACATCCTGCCCCAGACTCCACATGGTTGACCACCCACGGTCTAAAATCTATTTCCTCTCACATTGTGTAGTATATGAAGTTCTGTTTGTATGTGGACTGTTTAAACTGAGGGAAATTTAGACCTTTTCATGTACTGTGGTCATATAAAAAACTTGTGACTCAACTTTCGGTGACTTTTATATTTATACTTCATTTGTGCAATGACACATTTCCTTTACGTGTCCCTCAAGGGAAAACTTTCTAAACCTCGGTCTTATGAAATCTTTCATCAGAGAAAAGCATAGTGATTGAGCAATTAGTAACTTTAAAGCTTAAGAGAGGCAAGGATTTCTATAGATATATTACATTTTTGACAGTTCAACACTCTCCTGAGGGTTCCAGGAATTATAGGATAAAACTGGCGTTATTTTATGTTTCTCTTTTTGTAAACAAATCTTGGCTATAATTAAAGCTACAGTGATTTCTTGAAAGAACTAACAGGAGTTAATAGAACATTTGTTGGGGACTATTTTCAGCTGTGGATTGATACACATATGGTGATGATGTTTTTGTTTTTTTTGCTGCAGTTTTTTAGTTTCTTCAGTGGAGCAGAAGCTTTAGTGGATCTTTAAGTCACTTGCTTCATGTGAGTCATGATTTGTTCACCGAGCCTGTTTCCACTGAACTCTGATGCATTTAGTGACGACATTAACTTTTCCACTTCCACTCCTGTTTTGTGTGATATTTCAACTGTTTTGAATTTTCCATGTTTTTTTTTATTTTAAATCAAGCTTTGACTCATTCTTTTCAAGGGATTTGCTGACAATAAGAATAATTTAGACTTTAAACTTTTTTTCAAATACAGCACCAACTTGACACTATCTGACGTGGACCTTGACATTATGAACTGAAATAACTGACCATCACTGATCCACAATCAGCCAGCCGCTGATGACCTTTTAGATAACTTTTTTGTTCTTCCGGTGTATAAATAAACAATGCCCTATCTGTAGCTAACTCACACCAAAAACTGCTTTGCATGCTGCTGACCCCGAAAGCTTCTCTGGTGTGCCTCAAGCTAATTTTTCACCTCATTAGCCTGGACAGACATAAAAACTGGGACACTGTGATGAACAAAGCAGGTTTGTGTATATATTCATGGCAGGAAAGTGCGGGACAATGCAGTGGAGAGGGAGGCCATGTTAACAGGGGCGTTTGTACACTACAGTTCGCAGAGGTGTAACGACAATGAGTTATGGGATAAGAAAGGGCAGCAGTGCATCATAGTCATGTGTGTGTGTGTGTGTGTGTGTGTGTAGAAGTATTTCCACCTATGTGTCGATATGTGATTGCA